AAAAATCAAATGTAGGCCACAGGATTCCCATCCTGGGGACACATTTTGTTGAGAACGATTTCTAGATTATGTCCTGGGTACCCTACAATTATTTATTTGGTTAGGCACCTCAACGTTTAGACTTCCTGGAGTATTTAGAAAAGAAAGTCTGTTTGCCAAAATATTTTGAAGAAAAATTGTCTTTAATTTTCTCAGTTCAGTGCTCAGGAGAAAAGGTGAAACGTAAAGTAAATAATTCACATGAGTAACTACATTCAATTATAAAATATAATGACTGCAAATTATGTCGAATTCAAGTTTAAAACGTTACCAGTTATAATACAGCATAAGTGAGTCAGTTGCCTTTGGTAATCTCTTTTGATAGAGTTAATATGACCCTACCATTGGCAGACATTAGACTTACGATATCCCACAAATCCTACAAAACGAACACGTTTACAACAAATACATGAATCCTTTGAATATGAAGTCTGGTGAGAAATACAAAGACTAGTCTAGCTTCTGCTGAACAGACATAAGCGGTGGCTCTGTTTCTCTGTCATTTTTTATATGCCCGTTGCTTTACAAAGAAAACATTGACAAATTAGCATGGTAGCAAAGTAAAAAACAAAACAAAGTAAGGGATATTATTATCTTGCGACTGATTTCGGTACATTCCTAGTTTTTCAAGTTCTATCATATTCTAACCATATTGAGGTAAAGTCGTACACAAACTTCTGTGATAGCTTCTATGGTATTTGCTTTTCCTTTCAGAAGAAACTTAGAACAAATTTAAAGACTTAACATCTTAATTAAAACACTTAAAAAGCATTGCTGTCCTCCGGTGATGAGTAGGCCTGCTCTTCTTTGAAATGGAAGTATTTTTGGTGTCTTTTTACTTCATTTAAATTTCTAGATGGCATATGCCTGATTGTGACATCAAGGTAAAAATGTTTGATATTATTTTAATCCATCATCGAAAACCTCTCAAAAATCCCTATGAAAGTCTTGAAATGCGTAGTAGCGGTACTTTTAAAAATTCTACTTTCTTCCCACTTCGTAAAAAGATTGCGTATATCAGCTGAAGCCATAGAAGAGCTAATCAACTATCCATACACTTTTTCTTTTAATGCATTACTGAGAACAGAATACAAAAAAAAAAGAATCAAATAAGCTGTGTATAGCAGTTTTCTGCCATGAAACTGAAACAAAATTTATTTCTCAGGGATATTCCAGGGTTCAGTGACCGAGCAGCTTGATTCTGTGTCTGCCAAACCTACACCCACGTTCTATCAGACGCCTGACTCACTAACGCTAACAGCTCATTGTGGTAGACTCATTGACATGGTATGAACCACTGATAGTCCTACAACATGGAAA